AGTCAAGGGTATATAGTACAAGTCATGGACAGGTCAAGGGCTGTGAATTTTTGTTTACTGCCCGTGACCTGTCCATGATTTTTACTAAAAATACCCATGACTAAAACGTAGCCTTACCCATGGCTAGTTAACACTTTTTTCAACACGATTATCTTTGTTACGCTAATGTTTTAACAACAGTGTTAATTAAAACCTGTTTACTTAACATGCTTTCTAACACCATTTATATTCCCAGTGGTAACTAGGCCAATGAAGATGCTTGGCTACAAATAGGCGCCCGTAAGCAGCTTTGGCTTAACCTGTGATGTGCTCCATAGGGCATACTGTAGCTGGTTGGGTGCGATGTAGTCCTCTCAAAAGAAATTAAGTGAAGAGAACTGTGGGGAAAGCCACAGGGACTGGGGGGAGTTAACTGTAAGATACTATGCCAAATATATGATATAGTGGTGCTGAGTAGCTAGCTCCCCAGGGTACCTGCTGTATACGGAATCTGAAATACTACCTGACATCCTTTGGCCTCAGATTCCATTCCCTGTAATGGAATCCCCTCTTCTGCTCCCCCTGCACCTGAACTGCCATGACAATGCTCTGTGACTCACTCTCCTAAAGTCCAGGCTGAGTTATCATGAAGGAGCTGCCTTTTCCCTTAATGAGCAGGGAGAACCATTTCAATGTGCACGCATTTGCTGTTGTTTTTCTTGATTTCAAAGGACAGCAAGACATGCACGGCCCTGCAGTTAGCTCCCTTAGTGGGATTGGGATAGAATAGCTGCTCTCCCCTTCTTTTCAGTTGGGCAACTCCTAAAATACAATGCTGCTGCCTCCCAGCTATAGACTGCAGGAATGACCTCAGGCCCAGGGCAAGGATGTCCTGCTTTCAGAAATGGGTAGGGTACAAAGTAGTGAAGTGCAGACAACAAATGGAGACACACGCCAGAGTGGTGCTGCTGTTAAAACTCAGCTAATTTGTTCCATGCATGGTTGCTTTGCTGAGTAATCAAAGATGCATATTCCATATGGTATTTAACAAGTTTTCCTCTTTGTTGCTGTTTTGATTCCCAGCAAATGTCTGCACAGCTTGGTTCACCTTTCTCTGCCAACTGGAGTGATAGACACAGATGCTTGTGTACTGGAGGAGGTGTGGGGCTACTTTGAAGATGCTCTGAGCATTGTAAGCACCACAGTAAGTTGAACAGAAAAACAAAAGATTGGAAATGATCCTGAGTAAGCTTAAAAAGTCCTCACCACAATGAGAGCAATCAGCAAACAAATCTTCAAATATTTAGGCTCTCACATGCAGGGGCGTCATTTAAGGAGGCTGGGGAGGGTGGCTCTAGCCTCTGCTGAGTTTAGTACCTGAGGTCTGCACTTGCAGTGTATTCCCTAGCCCCAGAGGGAGCTCTTCACTGCGACACAGCTTGAGTGTGATATGGGATGAGTTCTGTGCTGCTCCCAGCTTCCACTCCCAGGGCAGGGAGTTTGTTTATAAACAGAGGCAGGCTGATTAAGATAACAAAAGGCTTGTCCTTAAATTAAATTAAGGATCCTTAGATGATCCTGAAAGTATTGCCAGGCACTCAAATTAAAAGAGAGGAAACAAAGGGTAGGAATGAATAAATGGTGAGAATGGAAAAAAGTAAGTAGTGGTGTCCCCCAAGGGTCTATACTGGACCAGTGCTGATCAACATATTTATAAATGATCTCGAAAAGGGGGTAAACAGTGAGGTGGCAAAATTTGCAGATGATACAAAATTACTCAAGTATCAGAGGGGTAGCCGTGTTAGTCTGAATCTGTAAAAAGCAACAGAGGGTCCTGTGGCACCTTTAAGACTAACAGAAGTATTGGGAGCATAAGCTTTCGTGGGTAAGAACCTCACTTCTTCTGATGCCACCTCACTGTTTACCCCCTTTTCCAGATCATTTATAAATATGTTGATCAGCACTGGTCCAGTATAGACCCTTGGGGGACACCACTACTTACTTTCTTCCATTCTCACCATTTATTCATTCCTACCCTTTGTTTCCTCCCTCTTGCATGTGAAGAAGTGAGGTTCTTACCCCGAAAGCTTATGCTCCCAATACTTCTGTTAGTCTCAAAGGTGCCACAGGACCCTCTGTTGAAAATTACTCAAGATAGTTAAGTCCAAAGCTGACTGTGAAGAGTTACAAAGGGATCTCACAAAACTGGATGACTGGGCAACACAATGGCAGATGAAATTCAATGTTGATAAATGCGAAGTAATGCCCATGGCAAAATATAATCCCAACTCTACATACAAAACACCAGAGTCTAAATTAGCTGTTACCACTCAAGACAGAGATCTTGGAGTCAGTGTGGAGAGTTCTCTGAAAACATCCACGCAACGTGCAGTGGCAATCAAACAGCATATTCGGAATCAGTAGGAAAGGGATAGCTAATAAGACAGAAAATATCATATTGCCTCTATGTAAATCCCTGGTACACCCACATATTGAATACTGGATGCAGATTTGGTCACCCGAGCTCAAAAAAGATGTATTGGATTTGGAAAAGGTACAGAGAAGGGCAACAGAAATGATTAGGGGTATGGAACACCTTCTGTATGAGGAGAGATGAAAAAGACTGGGACTTTTCAGCTTGGAAAAGAAATGACTAAGGGGGGATATAATAGAGGTCTATAAAATCATGAATGGTGAGGAAAAATTGAATAAGGAAATGTTATTTACTCCTTCACATAACACAAGCATTAGGGGTCACCTAATGAAATTAATAGACAGGAGATTTAAAACAAACAAAAGAGTATTTCTTCACAGTCAATCTATGGAACTTGTTGCCTGGAGAAATGATGAAGGCCAAAATATACCCGGTTCCAATAAGAACTAGATAAGTTCATGGAGGACAGGTCCATCAATGGCTATTAGTCAGGATGCGCAGGGATCCAATACCATGTTCTGTGTGTCCCTAGCCTCTGTTTGCAGAAGCTGGGAATGGGTGACGGGATGGATCACTTGATGATTACCTGTTCTGTTCATTCCCTCTGAAGCACCTGATATTGGCCACTGTTGGAAGACAGGATACGGGGCTAGATGGACCATTGGTCTTAGCCTGTATGGCCATTCTCATATTCTTATATTGAACCCTGGTGTATCTGCCTCCCGCTGCAACCCCTTAGACCTCACACCCCTCCCAGAGCTGAGATAGAACCCAGGAGTCCTGATGGGGTCGCTATCTCTCTCTGCAGAGTTAGTAACCAAGTAAGAATATATATTAAAATTTTAAACCTAACTTGTGTCTTTAAGTGACTTGCCACAAGATGTCAGAACATGTTAGTATTAGAGCTGAGTAGGTCTATTTGATTTTCTTTCTTTTATATAGGAATTAGCTACAGTAATTCTGTCAGCTAATTGCTAAGTTATCTGCCAAAAAACTAGAATTTTCAAGTACCTAAGTAGCCCCCGGAATCATGGTTAGTCACACACACCCCCAGTCTGAAATGGCGCCCCTGCCCACATGGAACAAGCCCCTTCCCCGAGGGATATAGTGAGGGCACCTCAAACTGAATATCTCCTGGATCCTTATGACTTAACTGAGAGTGTCCTGGCTTTTGTGGAGGGTTTTCTGAGACATTTTAGGGCGTATTTTTAGTCCTGGGTTTAGAAATTGCCTGAAGCCAGAGTATATAGGCCACCATTCTTAAAAAAAACCCTGTCTGCAAATACAACTTGACATTCCAGATTTTAGAATCATAGAAATGTAGGGACTGAAGGACCTCAAGAGGTCATCTAGTCTAGGCCCCTGTGCTGAGGCAGGATCAAGTAAACCTAGACCATCTCTGACAGCTATCGGTCCAGCTTTTTCTTAAAAATCTCAAATGATGGGGATTCCGCAACCTCCCTTGGAAGCCTATTCCCATGCTTAACTATCCTTATAGTTGGAAAGTTTTTTCTGTCTCCCTTGCTGCAGTTTAAATCCATTACTTCTTAACCTACCTTCAGTGGCCATGGAGAACAATTGATCACTGTTCTCTTTATAACAGCTTTAATATATTTGAAGACTTATCCGGATCCCCTTTAGTCATCTTTTCTAAACAAGTCCAGTTTTTTAGCCTTCCTTCACAGTCAGGTTTTCTAAACTTTTTATCATTTTTGTTGCTATCCTCTGAACTCTCTCCAGTTTATCCACAACTTTCTTAGTGTGGTGCCCAGAACTGGATGCAGTACTCCAGCTGAGGCCTCACCAGTCCTGAGCAGAGCAGGACAGTTACCGCCTGTGTCTTGCAAATGACAGTCCAGTTAATATACACAGAATGATATTAGCTGTTTTTCACAATTGTATCACATTGCTGACTCGTATTCAATGAGCGATCCACTATAACTTCCAAATTCTTTTCAGCAGTACTACCACCTAGCCATTTATTCCCTATTTTGTAGTTGTGCCATTTTATTTTTTCCTTACTAAGTGTAGTACTTTGCTCTTGTCTTTATTGAATTTCATCTTGCTGAGTTCAGACCAATTCTCCAATTTGTAAAGTTCCTTCTGAATTCCAAGCTTGTCCTCCAAAGTGCTTGCAACCTTTCCAAGCTTGCTGTCACCCACAAGTTTTAGAAGCTTACTCGCCACTCCATTATCCAAGCCACCTATGAAAATATTGAAAAGTGTCAGACCCAGGATGGACCCCAGTAGATACGCCCTCCCAGTTTGATAGCGAACCACTCATGACTAGTCTTTTAGTACATTCTTTCCAACAGTTGTGCACCCACCTTCTAATAATTTTATCTAGACCAAATTTTCCTAGTTTGTACAGATGAATAGATTTTTGTCAGATAATTCCTTCAGTACCCTTGGGTGAATAGCATTTGACCCTTCTGATTTGAATTTATTCAAATTAGTCACAACATATATCACATCTACTGCATTCCTCTATCCACTAGGCCAGGTACTCTGTGAAAGAAGGAAATTAGGTTGGTTCGGCATGATTTTTTTCTTGACAAATCCATGCTGGCTTTTCCTTATAACTGTATTATCCTCTAGGTGCTTACAAACTGATTGCTTAATAATTGTTCCAGTATCCTTCCAGGTATCAGAGTTAGGCTGTCTAGTTTATAAATTCCCTGGGTTCCCTTTGCTCCCCTTTTTAAAGAAAGAAGTACTGTTTGCCCTTCTCCAGTCCTCAGTGTGAGGCTGGGTGAAATTTGGCTTGTAATGTTGGCATTGATGAATCAACTGTTTGTTAAATTTCTTTGTGGGTTTATTAAATTCCTGTTTTTCAAATGACCTGGAGATGGTTTTCCCTGCTGTCAGTACTTGCTATACTGCACTTACTTTTCAGGCCCTTGTCTCCATGGGGACTGGCCTACTGGAGAGTGAAATCTTCCTTCTATTCAGGCCTTGTTAGTCCCCCCTGGTTGTTTGTGCCTTCTTGGCAGGCCTGAAGTATAAACCAGACAGTCGCAACAGCTGGTACCCAAGAGCCAAAGCAAGATTTGGCCTTAGCTTATTTTCATCCATGAGCTTCTAAACAATATGTTCCTTATTCAGCATCAGGGAGGCGGCTCAGGAAGGAGGAGGAAGATGAATTTGTTGATATTTCCCCCCCCACACACACTGTATTGGTTTCCCGTTAACTGGTAGCGATCTGGGTTTTCAAGCTTCCACATGGTAATTGCCACTAAGGACACCTCTCATCCTGGTGTTCCTGTGCTGCAGAATAGGAGCTAGCTTGGATACACAACTCCAGGGATGTGGTCTTCGACATCCTGAAATTCTGGAACCACTGCAGGTCATTCCAGGTCTGCACAAAAATCAGTTCCCACCATTCAGTGCATGTTGAAAATGTTTCAGCCAATCTGCAGATAGATCATATGCAAGTTCTCCTGCCACGTGCAGCCACCATGGGGTCATTCCCAGTACCATAGGATTGAATGTTCTGTCCTAATAATAGACAAGAGTGCCGCATTCCTCACCCACGTTGGCAGTAAGCAGTTCGGAAGTGGTGCAGGTGAGTGGTGAATTATCGGAAAGACCATAGGGAATTCTGGCTTTTGCATGCCCAGGGTGAAGAACTTTCTTCTGTTTCTCTGTTCTAAGAATAAACTCTAATGCACCCTAGACCAGGTATCTTTAGGAGTGAAAAGCCTAATCTTTGCATTGTTGCTTTGCCTTGCTGGCTAATGTAGGATGATTACCCAGAGGTGGAGACCCTTTGGCTGATGACCAGAGCCTGGAATACAGGAATATTTCAGTACAGTGTCGGTAAATACAAGGAGGCTGAGCGCTGGTGTGGGCTGGGTATGCGCTTTCTGAATCACCTGAGATCCCTGAAGAGCAGCTATGAAAGCCAGGTGAGTGTGAGCAGAAGGCAGGGGGGCAAAAACTGTGAGTGGTGGAGGGGAAAGCATGGAAGAAACTGCTCCACAGGGAAATGGACAAGGCAGAAGAAGTCACTAGATGCTTAAGCAACATGTGCTATTATGGGTCTAAGCCTGGAATTGTGTTTCAGAGCTGCTGCTACGACTGTCTAAACCCATGGGGAAGAGAGAACATAATGGATGTGGCACACAGGCAGAAAGGAATGTATAGTCCTGATACTAGTGAGCTTGTGCAAGCAACTGAGTGGAGGTAGTTTTCAGCTCCGCTGTGGCTGTGGGCAAACCTTTGGCTCTATGCTGGCTTCTCCTTGTGTAGGGTGGCCAAATTGCAGCCTGTGCACTATATGTTGCCACAGCATTCTACAGTGGGACATATTTCAGAGACATGTTGGAGGCATGAAAAGTTCAGATCCCAGCATGCAGTGTGGCTGGCTGCTTAGATAAAGATGGAGACGCTAGTTATTGCTGCAGGCTGCACCACTCTATCCATGATGAGGCCAGCTGCCCTCTGTTCCATTTTAGGCACAGCTTTGGACAAGCTACCAGTGTGACCCTCACTGAGGCAAAGCTTATGTGCTGCCAGGGTGGGGCGTTGCATTCAGTATGAGGGGCTGCAGGAGTCTTAGGATCAGGGCAGAAACTGTTAGGGAAAAGAATAAAAGTTTGAACATGAGAGGTAGAGGAGAAAAACCTGGGTAAAGTTCTCTGACAGGTGTTGTACAGGAGCTCAGATTGGATGATTACAATGGTCTTTTCTGGCCTTATATTCTATTACTATGAAAACTGAAAGAGACACAGGGGAACAGGTCTCTTCCCCAATCTCTGCATCCCCAAGCAGTTACCTCTCTTTTTTAATAAGATTGCTGATCACTTAACTGAGCCTCTTACCACAGTACTGGGAAACAGTTATCTAACCCATCACACTCATGCAGCTACAAGCAATGAAACATTGGAAGCAATACAACTAACAATGGAAGTAGACGGGCAGAGAGGACATTCTGCAAAAAGGCAGGTGCTTTAATGAATTAAAAAGAAATCAGGGCTTTTCTATACACACAAGTAGCACCAGTGTCACTAACAGTGGGACGGTGCACTGATTTAATTAAATCAGGCTGACGTCTGTAGATGCTTTTACATTGTTGCTCTAAGCCAGGTTTAAATCAAACTGAACTGCTGTAAGCCTGGCATTAAGTGATGCAACTAAATTGCTGCAGCATCCCATCTTAAGTGAAACCAGTGCAACTTCTGGATGTAGACCAGGCAGGATTCTGCCGTGCAGGACACTTCAATGATCAGCCCTCTGCAGAGAGCTGTATAGCTTTTCTTAGCCCTTTGCCACGTCAAATCATGCTTTCTGTTGCTCTGTTACTTTTGGCTCCATTGCCCTTAAGCCTGCCCATCCCTACTGCAGCAATTTATAGACTGGATGATGTGTGCAGTCATCGTGCATTATCTTACACACACCCTTACACTGGCTCCAGTTTAACACTGATTGGTTGCGGGCTGGTCAGTAGTTTTTGTGCCCATTTAATTTATCAGTTTTTGAAACACAATCCCTAGTGTGGCTGCAGTTGTAAATAGGGCTGTCAGTTAATCAGTTAAATCAGGCGATTAACTCAACAAAATTAATTGCGATTAAAAAAATTAACCACAATTAATCACAGTTTTAATCGCACTGTTAAACAGAGAATCCCAATTGACATTTATTAAATATTTTTGGATGTTTTTCTACATTTTCAAATTTACTGACTGTGCTCACTTTATATTAATTTATTATTACAAATATTTGCAATGTAAAAATGATAAAAGAAATAGTACTTCTAATTTACCTCATACAAGTACTGTAGTGCAGTCTCATTATTGTGAAAGTGCAACTTACAAACGTAGATTTTGTTGTTGTTACATAACTGCTCTCAAAAACAAAACAGTGTAAAACTTTAGAGCCTACAAGTCCACTCAGTCCTACTTCTTGTTCAGCCAAGCGCTAAGACAAACAAATTTGTTTACATTTACAGGCGATAATGTCACCTGAAAGCGAGAACAGGCATTCTCATGGCATTTTTGTAGCCGGCATTGCAAGGTATTTACGTGCCAGATATGCTAAACATTCGTATGCCCCTTCATGCTTTGGCCACCATTCCAGAGGACATGCTTCATGCTGACCATGATCGTTAAAAAAATGTGTTAATTAAATTTGTGACTGAACTCCTTGGGGGAAAATTGTATGCCTCCTGCTCTGTTTTACCTGCATTCTGCCATATATTTCATGTTATAGCAGTCTCAGATGATGATCCAGCACGTTCATTTTAAGAATACTTTCACTGTGGATTTGACAAAATGCAAAGAAGACACTATTGTGAGATTTCTAAGGATTGATACAGCACTCGACCCAAGGTTTAAGAATCTGAAGTGCCTTCCAAAATCTGAGAGAGGGACAAGGTGTGGAGCATGCTTTCAGATGTCTTAAAAGAGCAACACTCCGATGTGGAAACTACAGAACCTGAACCACCAAAAAAGAAAATCAGCCTTCTGCTGGTGGCATCTGACTCAGATTATGAAAATGAACATGCATTGGTCCACACTGTTTTGAATCGTTATCGAGCAGAATCCGTCATCACATGGACGCATGTCTTCTGGAATGGTGGTTGAAGCATGAAAGGACATCTGAATCTGTTGCACCTCTGGCACGTAAATATCTTGCGATGCCGGTTACAACAGTGCCATGCGAATGCCTGTTCTCACTTTCAGGTGACATTGTAAACAAGAAGTGGGCAGCATTATCTACTGCAAATGTAAACAAACTTGTTTATCTGAGCAATTGGTTGAACAAGAAGTAGGACTGAGTGGACGTGTAGGAGCTGAAGTTTTACATTGTTTTATTTTTGAATGCAGTTATTTTTTGTACATAATTCTACATTTGTAAGTTCAATTTTCATGAGTAACAGATTGCATTACAATACTTGTAATGGGAGAATTCAAAAATACTATTTTTTAGTTTTTTTATAATGCAAATATTTGTAATCAAAAATAAAGTGAGCAGTGCACATTTTGTATTCTATGTTGTAATTGAAATCAATATATTTGAAAATGTAGAAAACATCCAGAATATTTAAATAAATGGTATTCTGTTTTTGTTTAACACCATGATTAATTTTTTTAATCACTTGACAGCCCTAGTTGAAAGTTATACTGCTATAAGCACCTTTCCATTGGTATAAATGCATGCACATTAAGAGGGATGGGCTGCACTGATTTAACTAATCACTTTCTAAACAGCTATAGTTACATTGGTTTAAAAAACCCAACTGTGTGTAGACCAGTGTGTAGCTCAGGTTGTAGGAACATGCTCTGACCCCTGCCCCTTCCCCTCTAATCGAATGGCAGAGCTTTGTTTTTCTTTATCTACTCAGAGGACTGTTGGTGGTTCTATTCCCCCAGATGATTGGTCTTTACAGCGAGGTGCTGGATAAGTTGGACAGAGCAAAGGGGTTCCTTCCAAATGAAGAATAACACTCAGTGCAGCAAGCCAGCATGATGGCACCCCCTGTAAAGATTCAGCTGGATAGAAGAGACTGCTAGCTCTTCAGCGAGTGCTGGGACCAGCAGCCAGGGCCTGCTCCTCTTGGCCATTTGAAAGCTATGTACTTTTAAGGAAGTTTTTATTGGAGATGTAACTGTTTTCCTTCAGGGACTTGTATTCATGCTATAGAGCTATTTAACGGTAAGAAGCTGAGTCATAACTTTATGAGATGGGGCTGCTGTTGTACAGCCAGGCTAGTTTAAATGTAGGAAGTAGCCATGTGAACAATAAAAGTGTTCCCACACTATATGCATCTTGTGGCTGCCAGAGTTGTCTTCCTACATAAATATTTACTGGGTTGTTTAGTTTTCAGTCCATTTTGGTATGGACAGGCATTTAGAACTGCTGGCCAGGATTGCAACGATCACTCACTTTGTTATACTAAAGAGAATAGGTGGCTCGCTCACGCTGTCACACACAAAATGCTAAAGCTCTGGCTAGTGCTATTTATAAGCTGCTAAATATAACATCCTGAGTTAGTCAATGCTGACCCTTAACCTCCCCAAAAGCAGTACACAGGCTGGAGCCTCCATCCACAGCTGGATGGATGGGGTGAGCAGACACCACCCCACCAGCTAAAATTTAATAGGACTAATACAACCTGACCTAAACACCTTGGTGCAGCCTGTGTTTCACAAGCAGCGTTATAGCTCAGTAAAACTGGTGTGCAGCTGCCATTTCAGAAAAGCAAATAGAATGTTTGAGTAGGTCTCACACAGAACTTAAAACGTTAGTTACATGCTCACTTAAGGCAGCTTGAGTTGTGATTACCTTAAGAGACAGCTGAGTGGGGAAGGAGAGTGCCTTCGGGGATACACTGTCAATATAGTTCAGCGAGGGCTGCCCTATGGTAAGCAGACATGAAGAACAATTAAGTAAATGGGCATTTCATGGGGGGTGGTCCAGAGTTGTAGCCTCATTTATTTGCATGCAGTGCAACTGCTCTTCATGATGTTAGGGACCATTGGGTTGACAAGGGCAGGGAGTAGTTGCAGCACACTGCTACACCTCATGCTGAACGATGAGAGGCATTGGCACGAAGTGATCTCAAGATTTGGACCACTCACTCTACCCCAAATGCCCAGGAGGGACAGTGATTTTTTCCCCCCAAGGTAATCTGAGAAAGCATGTGGATTTTAGAGCACTTACCTATAGTAGTGCTCCTACCACCTAGAAAAGATCACTCCAGCTTTACTGCAGGTGTCAGCTTTGCTGCTATTTGGAAGGAAAGTTGACAATCAGTGTCCCAGTGCAACGCTGGCAGATGACATAATTCAGCTATACGTGCACAAGATCAGCAGCTGGTGCTTAACTCCCACACTAGTGCACAACTGGCAGAGGCCAGGCAGCACTGCACCCCCCGCAATTGTTAAGGGCTGCATTAGCAGAGCTTATGGTCAGAGATGCTCCTGAATGTAAAAAGCAGGCTGCAATGTTACTCTGTATAGTGAAAGTATTATTTCTGTAGGCCTGACACAAGAGGGTGCCTGTTCCTACTCAAGCTTTCTCCTTCCCTCACTTCTCCCCCCAAAAAATCATTTAAGCCAAACAAACAAAATAAATTTTGGATTATTTGGGAGAGTAAAGTATCTCCACTTCTTATCAAACTGTCTGTACTGGGCTATCTTGATTATCACTTCAAAAGTTTTTTTCTCTTACTTAATTGGCCTCTCAGAGTTGGTAAGACAACTCCCACCTGTTCATGCTGTGTGTGTGTGTGCGAAAGCTTATGCTGTAATAAATTTGTTAGTCTCTAAAGTGCCACAGGTACTCCTGTTCTTTTTGCGGATACAGACTAACACAGCTGCTACTCTAAACCCTTATCTAGGCCTCCTCCTGAGGTGTTGTACAGCTGGTAATTAGCTCATTTCCTGAAGACTGACACAAGCAGATGCCATTGCAGCATTCACAGAAACTGACTTGCATTATATATATTGCACTAGATGCTTTTCAGTATGGCTCAAGTCAGCAGTGAGAGACTTTGTTTCAATGCTAGTTGGTCAGAATTTAATTGAAGACTTAGACAGAAGAATTACTTACCCTAAAGTACCTGTGATTCCATGATATGGTGTAGTCAGTATGGATCCCCTCCTTGTATGTGAGATCTGTACAGTATTTCTTTGAATAGCAGTAGTTGTTGGTTGGGGGGGGGGGGGGCGTTTGCACATGTGCCCTGTGCCGCCTCATGCTCCCCTCTGAAGGCAGAAAGGGCAGAGTGACGCTGACCCCTCATCAGTTCCCTTGCAGTTCAAAGCCTGTAGTAGTTGTGAACTTGGAAAAACGATGGAGGAGGGTGGGTCGTCAGATCTGCACTGACATCTTGAAGAATCACAGTTACCTTAAAATAAGGAACCATCCTTTGAGTATGTGTCAGTGTGACGCTGGGGAGCATGGATCAGTGTTCATTTCGTGCTCCCCATCAGTACCTGGCCCATGCCAAGGAAGCTAATGATCCAATCAGCAGACCAAATTCGGTGATGAATCTGGTCATGTGCCACCTGAGGCACATTGTGCCTACACTAAGAAGCATGGAACTCACTGTTGGTGACTGGCAAATATTCCTCCCTGAATGGTGGGAGTGGCGTTCTAGCCATACCAAACAACAATTGGAGTATTGCCCTGCCAAATGGGCATTTGCCCAGGTAGCCATGTCAAGGGCAATGTTCAACAAAATTCAGTGAGTTACTCCAAGCTGCAGCTTTACCGACCTGACAGGTTGGACTGTTCCTGAAGCAGGTGGTCGACACACCCTGTGCCCTACGGGACAGGCTCACCAGTCAGCTAATAGCAGATGGACATGCAGTGAGATCAAGTTGGAGAGTCTCTGTGAAAAGACTGTGTGACTGGAAATAGCCACAAAGAGGCAGGGAGAAAGCAAGAAAGGCTTGGTCCAATCAAGGTATTATAGCAAAGCCCTGCCGACATCCAGAGTCTGCAGCTTCTTCTCTCTCAGTATCAAGAGTGCGTCATGAAGACTGACAAGGTGAGCCAGGATAACAACAATTTTAGCTACAAGCTGGGGACGCATTGGTTAGAAGTAACGGAAGAGGAGAAGGACCTAGGGGTTCTAGTAGACTGCAGGATGACTATGAGTCGACAATGTGACGTGGCGGTGAAAAAAGCCAATGCGGTCTTGGGATGCTTGGTATATCTAGTAGGGATAAGGAGGTGCTGCTTCCGTTGTATAAGGCACTGGTCAGACCTCATTTGGAGTACTGT